GGGAAAGATACAGTAGAAGCTATAGTATTATATATCAATATATCAAAAAAATCATTCACGATAAATTTCAGTTTTAATTTTAGAGAGTAAAAATAATGTATTTTATTATATTTTATTTAACAAGGACAACATTAACAGCAATTGGAATCTAAAATACTACTCTGCACAAAATATTTCACATATTTTCAGGAATTGACTGTTCATTTACAGTCTAAGGTAAGTGATTGTGGAGCTCAGAACTACACAGCTGACTAGGTTTTCCTCCTTGCTCCTTTAGACACAAGCTAGTCAAAGAGCTTCCTGGTCAGCCTGTTAGATATACAGCGCCATGACTATGTAAAATGCAACTGAGATTGGGTAACTTGAGCGGAACAAAAAAAGAAGCTAGTTTGGAAAACTAGCAAGTCAGCAATTTTACTGTTCTCTCTTGTATGAACAGGCACAAAAACAAGCAAAAATAATCAGCTGACCAGAATACTGACTCACTGTGGCAGTGATTAATCCATAAGGAACCAGGACAAAGTTAGGCAAGCAGCAATACAGACAAACCATTTCTCAATGACGGTTTTTCAATATCCACGCCCAACAGCGAGGGCACTGCAACGAACATTTCTATTTCCTCAGCCATTGCTCTCTTCTCCCAGCCACTGACTTCATTTTTTTTTTCAGCCATTATTTTAATTAAGTAACTTTTCTGGAGAAAAACTGAAGTTGTAACAGTTTCTGACATAAACACTGGTATGTCTCAGTAAGTTAATACAAAAGGTACAACCATCTCAAAGCCAAATGGAAACAGAATCAGACTTAGGAACTAGCTAGCACTAAACTGACTGAGGAGGGGCAGGTGGGCTTCATGCTAAAATATACCATATGTGGCCTTTAATTTTTCCTTTTATGTTGCTTAATGAATCATTCAAATTTTATAACATTATTTTACTCATAGTTGATAAACTATAGATTCAGTTGTGTAAGAATTTTCATTGCAGAAAACTAACACTATGAAAAAATCTGTACCTTTCACGTAGTCAGATGATTTAAAATGCCAGTGAAATATGATGCAAGTTTTTAGAATAAACAAGCTTTCAATAATGCAGTATAAAAACAGAAAAAAGATTGCTTCTCATGGTAAAACCTTTGTTTCAACCATGTTTCCACGTTGAAAAGGCAAATTGCTTACTGAACTACCAATATTCCCGCAAAATGGGATGCAAATAATGTAATATGGAACTGCTGAGCTGTATGAGTTCCTATAAAAAATTCTGAGATTAAAAAAACCCATGTTGATTCTCTCAGACAAATTTTAGGTCATCTTAAGAACCTGATAGGTGAAACATGTAGAAAGTATCAAGTTAATTCCACTCTACATATGGCAATATTTCATATATGATATTGTAAAAAAGGTGCATTATTAAAAATATCACCAAATTTACCATCCTTCCAGTGTTTTCTATGAAAATTCTGGCATCAATTCTAATCAATTAGATTTTTAAATTCACAAAAAATACAGAAAATAGTCAAAGAGAGACTCAGTGGAATTCTAATTTGCTAAAAGCTGGTTTAGTTGGTTGGATTAAGAGAAGAAAGATACAGTTTTTAATTATTGGCAATTCTCTGTAACCATGGTATTGCAATGCAAAAATTAACAGTAGCAATTCTATTACTGATCTGGGACAAACTTATCTTAAGAGAAAACATAGCACCTCTGTAGCATAGCAGGTTTCAAAAAATTACTGGATGCAAACTTTTTGCTGGCAGACCTAAATGAGACAATGTGCCATGTAGCACTGTGGGACAAAAAACTGCCACTTAATCAAGAACAGTCCTTCTAGACTTCTGTGGCTTCAGGTGTCAGACAATCTCCACCTAAAATGCTGCAGGCATGCAATAGAGCTTACTGACTGGTACAATGAAAACTCGTAAAGTAGAGATTTTATAAACTTCTGCCAAGAACAGTATCAGCCAGCTTCTATTGGACCAGAACTGGATGAAAGATTAAAGCAGATCCCAGTTAAGAAGACTAGCATCCTTGCCACAGGAACTTAAACTGCAGGAGAATTTCAAACAGCATAGCATATCTGATTGAAACTTCTTAATGGGGAACTTTGCCTTGTTTTACTTTGCTATGGCATGACATAATCCAACAAAACAAAGAAAACTCACTATCAGCAAGTTTTAACAGAATCTGAATTTAAGCAACACGTCAGCTGGCAGCGTATTACAAGCAGTGTAACTATTACAAAGGTTAAAGTCACAGCCAGAATAAAACCACTGTTTTATAAAACAAAACAAAAAAACCCACAAACAAAAACCAACAAAAACCAACCAACCAAAACTCACAAATCACAACAGAAATTCCAGCTGTCCCAGAGAAATTTAGCTGCACATTACAAGATGCCCAGCTTTGTCTGTACTTCCAAGCAGCTGTCTCCTGTAGTTATATATATTTGAGCACTGGTCAGACTAAATAGCTGTGAGACTACATCTTGCCTACAGAAATGCTTTCAGTCAAGAAATAGAATACTGAAGCCTTCAATAATATTGTTAAAGGCTCAGCATCACCACACACAAGGAGCAGAAATGCAGTTTTACATTCACAGACCAATATGAAACATTATTAACAACCTGCCAGCTGTAATCATAACCAGAGTTATACACAACAGCACAGAAGTCTCAATAGGCCATGCTATTTATACGTACTCCTCTAGAGGCCATCTCTAATCCCAAGAAATAAGCTTATTTGCAAACCTGTCCTTTGGAACAAGAGTCCTAGGTGGGAATTTGCTGACTGGCATCTCCTACTGTTTCCCGCAGTCTTACAAGGCAATCCAAGTCATTCTCAGAGAAGCCTTTCACTGAACAGCAGCAATGGCATAACGCTCTTTCTGAGGCTATTTCTTAGCTGAACTGTTACACAGAATGCTTGGAGATGTATTTAAAACATTTCCAAAGCCTAGTACTACACTATATTAAATACACTATAGATACAGTTTAAAGACATTATTTCAGTGTATGTTATTTGCTAACTCAAATTATACTTTAACTTTTCATGTCCAAAAAAACAAGTGTGCACATAAAGCCTATGAGAGAACTCAGTAAAGAGTCAATAATGGAAGCATTAGCAGCCTATAAGATGTGTCTAATTTAATATCACATTTTCAAAATGTACATTTATCAAAGCCCCTAAAGCTTCGCAAAACAAGGGTAAGAAACACAGAACCTCATTGCTTTCTGTCACAAAGACACTTGTGCTCTGGTGGTGACGACAAGGCAAGGGCAGCACATGTTTTCTTCCTTGGCTTTAGCAAAGTTTTGACTAACAGTTGAAGCTCTTGGAGTCTTCTTATCACCAACTGGTGAGATACAGGCTGGATAAAAGGATAAGGTGGCTGGAAAACTGGCTGGCTGCCCAAGCTCAAATAGTTGTCACCAGTGGCGCCAATTCCAGCTAGCAGGCAGTAACTAGCAGAGTCTCTCAGGGATCTCTGCTGGGACCAACGCTGCTAAATGTCTTCACTAATAACCTGAATGACTGGAGGTAGTGCACTCTCAGGAACTTTGCTGACAACAGCAAACTGTCAGTGAGCAATCGATATACTGGAGGGGAGGGCTACTATTCAGAGGGGCCTGGACAGGCTGGAGAACTTCATCAAATTCAGCAAGAGCAAGGGCAAGGTGTTACATTTCAGATGGTCCACACCAGCAAAGGCCAGGAGTTGATCACCTAAAAAGCAGCTCTGCAGGAAAGGATCTGCAGGTCCTATTGGGTGACAGGTGTCGGCAATGCAGCCTGCCAGCAGAGACAACCAACCGCATCCTGGGTCAAACAAGTGGTCAGCGCAGCCAACAGGGCCAGGGAAGTGATCCCTCCCCTCTGCTCTGCACTTGTAAGACTGCATCTGGAGTATTTTGTACAGTTTGGGGCTCCCATGTGCAAGAAGGATATCGATGCACTGTAGTAAGTCCAATGGAGAACTGCCAGGATGGTCAGACGAGAGTCACAAACAAGGAAAGGTGGAGAACTGCTTGCAGTTTTGAGGAGAGCAGACTAAAAGGGGATCTTGCTGCTTTTTACAACTAATTAATCAGAGAATATATAGAAGACGCTGCCAGACTCTTTCTTAGAGCTGCATTTACAGGACAAGATGCAACAGAGAGGATGGAACAGGGGAAATTGTAATCACATTGCAAGTTTAGTTATTTATTTATTTACTTACTGTAAGGGTAGTTAAATACTGAAATACTGAAACATGTTGCCCACAGACATCGTGGAAACACTGACCTTGGAGGCATTCAAGACTCAACACAGTCCTGAGCAACCTGATCTAATTAGAACCATTTTGGGCTGGGGGGAAGTTGGACTAGATGGCTTCTGGAGGTCAGTTCCAACCTAGATAATGATTCTGTAAGAAAAATCACTCATAAAGTCTCCTGGGTTTACAGTGACACTGCTAAAACATATCAGTTTATTTATTCTGTTACACTGGTGCAAAGTTGCTGTATGCAAGCCCTAATTTTAACAGATCAGCTAGTATCTCCAAAGGAAGAATTGCAATATATTTGAGGAGAAAATCCATATCTTTTCCTTCTACTTGTAATAAATTTAAGTGAAACTGAGCTGTTGCGAGTCTACGTAAGACAACAAAAATTTCATTCCTCTCATCTGAGTACGAGACTGAAATAAAAAAATTTTAAAAGTTTGGGCAGGAAACTTCTAAAGTCACTTACCCTGTGCGTGACTGTCCAACTTTATCACAGATGTCTAAGATGAGGCCCCAATCCTCTGCAGTGTTCATCTCACTGGTCGCTTTCTCTGATGAATAAAGTATAAGTAAATCAAAATACAAATTTCAAAAGAGAAAAGAATTTAACAAAATTCTCAACACAGATGCTGCAATATTACCTCTCTGTATATTGCTAAATGCATTACAAATCCCTACATTTAATATATTTATATATTTAAATTGTTATACCTAATTCTTTTTAATTTTCGGATGTTCACTTGTGGCCATGAATTTAAAGTCAAAAGCAAATATATATTTTGGCGCTGTCTTCCCACATGTGTATATAAAAAAATTATACCCAGAATATGACCAAAGTGGCTTAGCTACCAACAGATTTTTTTTTCCATTTGGAACTATAAAGTTTAATAGGATATGAATATTGAAAGCATTGGTTCACTGTTTGCAGTCAGATACAACCATATTTACCGCTTCCTCAGACACTAAACTGCTGCGTCTTGCATTTCCTTTCTAAGTATTACAACTCAACAAGGAGGATTCATTCTCAGCTCTGCTTTGAATAATATATTTCACTGTCTCTTTTCAGCTATAGAGACTGCTAAACCAAAGCTAATCTCATAGAACCCACTGGGACTTCTTTTGAACAGAACAAGAGGAGTCACTGCTGAAGAGTGAAGAAATAGAGAGAGTAGGTAGAGAAGAAATAAATTTCACTTCAGAATAAAAAAAAATAATGAAGATGCCCTCCCTACCTCTCCCCCAGAAAAGCTCAGGTACACAGGGGATGCCAATAAATAAAACTGTTAAAGGAAACCGAGCCTTGCAGTGTTAGGTTTACAGTTGGACACAATGTTCTTAAAGGTTTTTTCCAACCGAAGTGATTCTACAATTAAACACTGACAGATTGGATCAGGGCTGGAGAGTACAAGGGAATGCACAAGCAGTTTCCATTCTTCACCAAACAGAAGGAGAATGGGCACTGAATAGTACACAAACTTTGTTCTTATCCCTGCTTCATCTAATATTCACCTCTTAATCTACAAAACACAAAATATGCCTCAGCAATGAGTACCATCCCTCAGGGAACATCTCAGACTACTTAAGTTTTATGAAAGGAAGCAAAGATTTCCTATAAAAATTTATCTGCCAGGAAAGATTCATTATCCATATTAGCACTTGCAAGACTGCAGAGAAGAGAAAAACAAAGCAACACATCTAATCTCCAAAAGTTACTAGGAATCATTAATCCCAAAAGTGATGGCTTATCTTTATGAATTAATTTCTCTGTCCTATAGACTGAAGTCAGGTTACAGTTAATTAGTTCCTTAATTCAGAAAAAAAATGCAGAAAAGCAAAGGTCTCTGGTCATGTGCTCTCAAAGTATTTCTGGGGAAAAATTAAATGCTGCCATATACAACTAGAAGGACAACACATCAGTTGTACTGCGTGATGCAAAAAAAACCCATCAAAGGAGTATAGGGAAATCCTAAATGGAAGTTAGCTACAATTCTATGTGTTCTCTCAGATAAAGGCAAAGAGCACTGCCTCTTCTCTCTGAACTGAATCAGAAAACTTACGTGATTACAAAAAACAGTCATAATCAACAAAAATTTGACAAATTCTGGGTAGACACCGTGCTAACATCTAGCACTAAGATACACCAGCTGATCAACCAAACGCTTTATTTTTCTTTCAGTCTACTATTGTTCCAAATCATGCTTAAAATTAATATAGCTAACAATCAGATAAATTCTTGATTTTTAATATTTGTTTATAAAGGAAACATGTCAATTGTGAAGCAAAAATTGATAGGAACACCATAATGGCAGAATCAACCCAGCATGACAAATAAAAAAGCCAAAATGTGAGAAGAGAGCAATGAGACTGTACCCTGCTTGTATCAGTTAACATTGTTTCATTACTCTAGAATTTTGGTTCTTTTGTTGGGGGAAATACAAGCAAATGGGATGGAGGGAAAAAAAGGCAAGAAAAAACCCACAGCAGCACCATGCATTATACTTTTCCTGCTTGTTATTTTTCATTTTAATATAGCCAGCTCTCAGCCATCTGCAGGCAGAATACTTGTGCCACACGTGGTAAAACACTTGAACTGAACGCTTTGCATAGAGCCATCACGGGCCAAGACAGCCTTCTGTAACCACAGTCCATGAGCACAGCAGCTACACTGCTTCCAAAGCCTCGGGTCTGAGGCATCACAAATGCTTTCTGGAAACACGGAGTCTAAGTGGAGTCGTATCTGAGCAGAAGATGAGCCTACATGACATTCCCAAAACTGCAAACAGTGGATAAGCACAGTCCAGAGATGCACAAAACAGATCGCATGGAGGCAGTTTAGTTCCAGGACTCCACTGTCTCATGCCATTGCCAGTTCCACTGGAGCTGGACCAGCTCCAGTCAAAGCGTGTCTGCACAGGGCTCTCCAGGGCCATAAGTTCCCACCAGGTTCAGAGCTCACACAGAGCCCTGCAAGCCCACACCGCTCCTCACACCTAACGCAGTACTTCAGTCAGCACATCCTCCAGCAGTCACAGCGAAGACATCCAGTGGGACTGAAACGTTGACCTTTTCCGTTACTCTATATAATAGACAGTTGTCTGTACCTTCAACAACAACTGACCCTTCTTTCCTCACAGTGTCATCAGAGAGAAATAGCATGGCAATAGGTTATGTCTTTTACAAACCAAAAAGTAAAATAACACATGCTTGATGTCTTTTATGCTAATTTAAATAGTTTGGCTAGAACTCGAAATAAGATGGTGATTGATGAAATCCCTGATCCATAGCAACCACACCGATTAAAAACTTCGTTTTAGTTCTCAGTACAAATATTTTATAAATTTATCCACAAATACAGCTAGAAGTTTTCTATGATGGCTACATTCATTCTTGGAAGTTGAACTTAGTGCTGTATAAAAACTGACATTTGCTTGCAACACCTTCTTCCCTGTTAGTCAGGGTTTTCCCTCCACCAACAAGCGCTAGATAGTTTCTTACTAAATTTCAGTCTGAAACCCAGTTTCACTGTGTACTTTCTGTCTTCTGCAGTAGCAAGCATCCATTAATTTCCTCAGATAATAAAACTAATTGTAAGACATGAGAAAAATAAAATTGCCTCTAGAGTTTTAGTTAAATTCTGACTCAAACAAAGGCAGTTAAAAGTTAACGGCATACTGTGAATGGTGGCAGTACACTATCTGACATCGACTGTCCACAAAGAAGGCCACTATCTCTGTCGGAGCATTAGCAAGTGACTGTCACCTTTCAACACTCTGGGATCAGAAGCAACAAAGACTTTGACAAAATTCCTATGTCGCATCAGTGTTTTGTAGACAAAATTATGACTTGAAGCTGCTTAAGTTAAATTACTTACACTATTATCACCTAAAACCCATTAATGTTCTCTTTTCTAACACGAGGCATACATTCACAGCCAAAAAAACCTTTCTGTGCATTCAGTATTTGCTTACCCTGGCACCCCACAAGCCTTCAGGTACAGCTGACATGTCACTGTCACTCTGTCTTAGTACAAAAATGGACTCTGACAGGGAGGGAGACAGACAGACATTTATATTTAAAGTCTTAGGGTAAGATAGCACAGGAGTTAGAAGCTCACTTAAACTAGAGATGTTCTTCATCTTTCATCTCTGATCCAAAATATTTTTTGCCACAGCAATATTAATGTCTACTTCAGACCCTATCCCTCCACCTCACCATCAGTGAATGCCAAGCCAGGATCAGGTAACATTTCAGACTTTACTGAAAAGAACTTCTAAAGACAGCGCTGGCTCCTTCATGAAATCGGTGTTCCTTAAGGCTTATTAATGCTACATCAAACTCAAAGGAAACGGACCTGCGGGACACAGGGGGACGTATAATGGAAATTGGTCTCTCGTTTTCTGAAACGGCTCTCTCCCATAGAGATATCTCACTCAAAGTTGAGGCATTGTTTTCCTAGCATCTATAACCTTCCTTTTCCGGTTTACATACTGTAGAAGATCTTGGTTTTCTTGGCATCCCTTGCCAAGTTCAGCTCCAGCTGCACCTTGTCCTTCCTGACCCCATCCCTACACAATTGGGCAACATCCCTGTACCCAGGATACCTGTCCCTGCTTCCACTGCCTGTGTAGTTCCATCTTGTCTTTTAGTTTGACCAGCAGGTCTTGACTCAGCCATGCTGGTCTGTTGCCTTCCTTGCCTGATTTCTTACACCTGGGGATCAAGAGCTCTTGGGCTCTGTGGAAAACATCCTTAAAGATCTGCCAGTTCTGTTCTGCTCCCTTGTCCTTGAGGGCCATTTCCCAGGGGTCCTATTGACTAGCTCCTTGAAGAGCTGTAAGTTGGCTTTCCTGAAATTCAGGGTCCTGACAATGCTCCTCATATGACTTATACACCTTAGGACAGTGAACTGCACCAGTGCATGATGACTACAGCCCAGACTGCCTCCAATCTTGACATCCCTGATGAGCTCACTTGCACTGATGACTATCAGGTCCAATATTGCTTCCCCTCAAGTAGAGCTGTCTGCTTCTTGTGTTAGAAAGTTATCACCAAGGCACTCCAGGAGTCTCTTGGATTGCCTACAGCTTACCATGCTACTTTTCCAACAGATGTCAGGGTGGTTGAAATCCCCCAGCAGGATGAGAGCCTGCGAGCTCAATGCCTCTTGGAGCTGGAATAAGAAGGCTTCATAGATAGGCTCCCCTTGATCGGGC